CATAAAATAAGGGGTTGTTGAAAGCTGTGTGGATTCCTTGACTAACACCCTAAACCATTAGACCATCCTTACTAAATCTGTGTTGCCAAGTCTGTTGCCATTGAAATCTGAAAGCAAACATTAGCAGCCAAGAGCATCATGCTAATTAATTGCCTCAGGAGGATACAATTTCCAGGATCTAATGAAAGATGGAATCCAGCTCCCATATGTCCCACTTGATGGACCAAGAAAATGTGCCCATATTTTTCATAGAGACAGTGAGAAATGTCCAACTACTTGTCTTGCAGTTGAACAAAACTAATCAGCAGGCCAAGAGACGACTGTGCCCATGAAAAGCCAAATCAGACTGTGGCCGAGGAGCTGTCTGCATCTACTGCATTCACGGCACGTTTGCAGTGATACCTAGCATGAGCATCAGGACGTCGCTCTGTGCTGCTGCATTAGTGATCAGAACAGCAATACCCAAGACCTTGTGTGTAGCCACTTGGTACCTTTGGCAGGTCGTGAAAAAAGAGGTTAGTACGTCGTTCCTTGACAAAAAATGGAAAGAACAAACGGAGGTATTGGTATAAATCCAGACAATAGTGTTGAGCCCTGCCTTGCCACGCCATAGGCTTGCTCTTGCTTGGACTGGAATCCTTTTAATGAGAGGCTCATGCCAGAAGGGTGCTGGGGTAACTGTGGGGCGGCAGCGAGGGCAGGACCCTTGGTCTCATCAGAAGGTGCCTGGCAGGAGCAGCCTGTCCGGTTGAGAGTGGGTATCATACCTCTGCGCACCCTCCTGCTTGGCGTCTGGCCCAAGGCTTGGCTTCTGGAGGCATGTGCAGTGCTTTTCCTCCGTTGTTCCGTTTGCTTAACTGTATAATGCTTCTTTTAAAATGTATTATTTGAAGGCTGTGTCTGTTGTCAAGCTCCTTCTCCTCTGCATGTGGGAGGAACCCTCATACCACAGAAAGGCCGGGCACGCTGTTGTGCACGGGTCGTTATTGTACCGATAACCTGCCGCGGGTGAGACAGGTTCCCTATCCGCGCGTAGCAGTGCAATGTTATTTTCCTGACGAAAAGCTTCAGACGTGATTCCCAGTTTTGTCTGAATAAAGGTGACTGGTGACACGGTGACTGTGTGTGCTGGTTTGTACCACCAGACCCCAACCTGTGGCCTGCGCGGGGCCGGCTCCCGGGCCGGGCGCTCGCCCTGCTGGCTGGCGACATGGCGGGAAGGGTCACAAGGGCCATTTAGGGCAGTGGGAGGCTGAGGCGGGAAGCGGCAAAGGTAGCGCACAAGGCCGTGGCAGAGCTCTGCGTACGAGCCACAGTCCTCTGAGCGTCGCTTTATCCACCAAAGCACCACTGGTATTTGTTAAGTGGTCAATTCTGGATGCACTCGCCTTCATGCTTCATCTTTAAATATGATACATGTGAAACTACTAATCTAAAAGGAGTATCTCAATGATATGCTCAGTGAAAATGGGCACAGTAAAAACAGGTACAAATTGCATGGCACATTCTGCCTTAAATATGGAGGAAATATATATTTTATTCCCTCTGTCCTGAGGCTAAGAAGTAAAAAAAAAAAAAAAACAGGAAAGCCAAGGTAAGTAATTGCACCGCACCAGTCATTGTGCATCTCCTCAAGATCTCTCAGGTTCGTGGAGAAAAATGACATCGCCAAACTCCAATAAATTCCACGCGGAGCGGCTCATCGCTGCAACAGGCCTCCGTAAATCATTTAACAGCACGAGGGCTGCCGTTAATGCAGCCTGTGGGATAAAGGCAGACACTGGCTATTTTTCTGCAACTGGGCTTCAATTTCACTCTAGATTTTAGGTGACAGAAAGCTCAAAAAGAGCTTCTGGTAGCACTCTGAGAGATGAGATCAACCACTTATGAGTGTGTGTTTTGATGACACAGCCTAGGAAATTGAAGTGATTATTATTACGGAAGCACCAAAGTGATAAGTACCATGTAATATATGAGCAACCGTCAGTCAGACAAGCCAAGAAAGGTCATAATCCATTACAGGAATGTTGTAAATGTTATCATAAACTGACATCAGGATGCTGAGCTGGAATGCTTGCGCTTTTTTTTTTTTTTTTTTAATATTGCTGTTCTTCAACTTCTCTCTGCCCTGGAAAGACAAGTTTAATATTCGTTTTCCTCTGAAAATGGAGTATTTCCAAAATCTTGAGGATAGCATAAGTAATTTTTCTAACATTTGTATCTTTAATTTTTTTTCAAAGATCAGGGCTGTTGTGTCACAGTAGCATCCAGGACACCATGGGCAGGTGAGGAAGGATAAAGCAGTACCAAAGTAATTCCTGGATATTTGCCCGTTGTTTCTTTATTTGAGCCATCACCCATTGCTTTATAAAGTAATGTAGTTACAAACAGTTATAAAGAGCTGCTGGAGCCTGAGGCAGCCCCTCCTTGGCCGCTGCTCAGCTCCCCGCGGCGCCCAGGGCCCCCGACGGCAGCGCTTGGCCCTTCGTGGCTGCCCTGGGGCCCCAGCAAACCCGACACGTGGCGTTCGCCACGGGTGCAGTAACGTGGCGCTGGCAGCGCCCGTGGGTCCCCGCGCGGCTTCCTCCGGGCCGAGGCGCTTACTGAAGGCATCGCACACCATTACTGGTTATTTAGAAAAATTACTGATCTCGTCTAGCTTGGAAGGGCTACAAATAAGCCATGTTCATGCCATGAAGGTGAATGTCCAAGAGGAAGCCAAGACAAGTCAACATGGCTTGTTTAAGATACTGCAAATCATTGCCTCAACTTAGACCTGAATGCCTGGAAGCACAGACAGGAAAGTACATTTCCAGACTATCAAATTATCTTGGGCTAATAGTGTAATGCTTCTCACTGCTGTACCACGTGTCCTGATGACTGAGCAGATAATGCCACAGCTGGAAAAGGATTGGAATTTCCAGAAGATGTCGGTAAGCTGAGTGCTTTCACAAGAAAGGCTGGGTTTTTTTTCTGTTATTTTAGGGGAAAACAAATGTGCTTATTCTTTATTATTCGTTTATATAGAGTAACATTCTATGATAAACAAAACCTCTAAATCACTCATCTGTTTTGCATCTTACCCTGCAAAGTGCTTCTTCATTCCTATGAATTTCCTTCTTTCTGTGATAGCAACAATATTCTTCCAATCACACGTGTTTCCAGAATTGGTATGAGCAGATCAGGTAGCAAAGCAATTAGAACAGGTTGTACCCCGAAGTGCTGTTTTAATATAGACTCTTTCAAGCACATACTTGGAGCAAACAGAAAATTCTGAGCCAGAGATATGAACCATAGCACTGCTTATGATCTCTGTGGAAGGGCATGACACCAAATGTGCTTTTAGGCTGCTCCGAGGTATGTCAAAGGGCATTAACTTCAGCACAGCTGGGCATATCCCCAGATTCACTTATGAATACATATTTCTTACGTCCTATATGTTAACTACAGTTAACATAACCTTAGTCATTAAGAATAAACCATAGAGTAAGCCTATTAGGGGAGATTTAGCATCTACACTTTTCTGCTAACATCTGCTTGGCTGACATACGTAATCTGCCTAGATGTCACAGTTTATATCCTATTTTCATTGGAGAATGACGAAACCTGATTGGTGCTTTCATCTCCTCCTTTGGCTCGCTAGGAAATATTTCTTGCCAACTCCAGCTCCAGAGGGTGCCCGGTGGGACTGCAGGCACTGAGAAGGTAAAGGTGCTGTGGTGGTTTCCTAACCTGGCCTGCCCGCACCTAGCTATACCACCCTGGCATAGCACTATTCGAACAGCAATCCGACAGTAGTAGCTTTCTGAGGACTTATGTTTCCTTTTAGTCCTTACAGACCTTAAGGATACGCACTGTAGTAATTCCAGAGCAGTGTAGTCCAAGGGGGAACTCAAAATTAGGGAAAATTAGACCATTTCTAATGAGATAGTTATTACACTGAATAATGATGATTATTGGTTCTGCTTAATAAAGCTGTCAGCCAAGGCAAAATATATATTAAGTTAAATTACATTACATTACATTTCTGTCAACTCAGATATTCAGCGCGGGCACAAACTGCGGGCACAGGGAGATGTTAAAAAGTGCTGCTTTTCTCAAATAGCATAAAATGTGAAGTCTTTTTTTAAAAAGCACCCCTTTAAAGGCCTGATTTAAATCCCATTAAATCCACTGTGGTGAAGATTCACGCTGCCTTCAGTGCCCTACAGAGCAGGAGCGTTCTCTCATATTCACTGTGCTAAATATCTAAATGCTCTTAGCCTGCTTCCAGTCACATACAGGTGATGTGGTGAGGCACAGCGAGCTTCTCGAGGCCACCGAAGTGACAGTGCTATGTGCCAGGTGGGGGATTAAAGAGCGGGAATTGTCAGCCGTAGCAGCCCAAACCCCACCAAGCTCCAGAGGAATCCTCTGCCTTGTGCCCCTCCTGCCCACTGCTTCCCCTGCTCTTCCTCCTGACCTACATGAAAATGGAAAACAGACTACAGAGTGTAAATTACACTGCTCATTTCCAAGGAGAAAACAGGAAAATATTATCTATTGGCTAAAACAGAGATGTCTGCCAGGCCAAACTCAGGCAGTGGAGCAAGACGCTTAGCAGTGAGGTGACTCACCAGAGGTGCCTTGGCACGATGGGCCAGGCCGGGGCTTTCCCTTCTGGAGGGGAAATCTGACTGCTCAATGTGCTTTTGTCTAGAACAGGACAAAACTTCAAACTCAGAAGGTCCCACAGCACCGAGGGATGACGGGTGTCCCTCGGACGGTGCCGCTCTGCGCCAGGACGCTCTCCAGCAGTCAGCTGAAGAAGGAAGGAGAAGCCATGAGCGCGTTGCTGCTACCCCACCTCTTCTATGCAGGTTTCACCTAAAGGGATGTTTCTTTATGATATTTTGATATAAGCTAGACCATATCTTTCTTACGGAAAAGGTGCTCACTGCAGCAGCAATCTCAGTACCTTTTATAGCTTCTGAGAGCGATTAAACAAGTAGTAATGAGACATGAGTGGCTATGCAGCTCTGCACATGGACCTCATGGCCTGGGGTCCATTAGGCCTTGCAAGGCCAATGTGGCGCACCCTGATCCTGAGGGAGCGCAGGTTCTGCTCTATAATTTCATTTATTTGGGAGCACTATTGCTCTTACGAACAACAATGCACTACCTCAAATGAGGAGGATAATGTGGTTAATAAGTCGCAGTATACGTGGATAGAAGATTTTTATCATGCACTGAAACATTTAGTAATCAACAAGATTCCTCCTCTTCTGAAGCCCATTTTGCAGAGTTCCACAAACGAGGTTCAACAGTCACCATTTCATTAGCATTATATGGTTGCCATGGCAATGTGGTACCAATGCAATCGAGGGGCTTTTCATCCCAGGCTTATTATAGAAGTGCTCTTCCCGTCTAAGATACATCAATATGGCAACAGCAAACAGACCTTACCATCTGAATATTACCACAGAATTTCAACCTGTGCTAATTTGGATAGGAACATATCATACTATTGGCATCAGACCCAGAAATGATCAGAGATGGAGGTTCCTGAATGCTGGACACAGCCAAGTCTCCCTGCTGCACCGGGGTGATTTCTCGCATTGCTTCCTGCAGCGTCTGAATTTGCTCTCAGAAAAGCAGCTGGCTCTGCTGTGACCACCGCGCGCGACGGCTGGGAGGCCACAGAGCTGCAGGTGGCCACATCAAAGGGAAAAGCGGCCGTGGATACTGAGGAATAAACCTGGAGCTGGAGAGGCCTCGGAGCCGACTTCTCCGAGTGGATTGCGGCTCACGCTGGGGAATCGCTGCCAAATGCAACGTCTTGGCTTCCCCGCCTGTAAAATGGGGATGCTGACCCTGTGCCCTGTGTGTGGGGCACCCCGTGTATAACCGAGGAAAATGATATATAGTACGGCTAAATATTGTTATTAAGTAAAGTAGCAATGTTTTTAGCGGTTCCAGGAAAATACACAGCACAGAGCTACAATTTGAGGAACGTCGCTGGGAGGATCCGGGCTCCCCCCGTGAGGCACAAAAGAGCTGGCAGCCCGAGCGCACGGTGCAGCATATGCACTCGTGGAGGAAAAGAAAGATAGCCACGTCGTTAAAAAATCAGGACAGTTTGTACTTCTTTAAAAATAAAAAATATTGTAGGCTACAAGAGCAGTTGCTGCTGCAATCTGAGCAAGCAGAGCAACAATTTAATATAAGGCAGCAGCAGGGTGGCTTGTTTATTGTATGCCACAACATTTTTGTGTAGATTTTCGTTGTTTTGTTGATGATCATTTCCTACTTAGATAGGAAATATCTTTCTCCATCCCGACATATAATGTTCAGTCTATCATTTCTCAACTTAATCATGTTGTGTCCTTTACAGCAGCAAGGGTAAATTATAGACAAGATAGTACTCAGTATAATCAAAGATGTGTTCCATTTTATATGATAAGTTTTGTCTGATTTAAAAAGGCAGTTTCCTCTCCAGCTGAGCACAGAAAGAGAAAACTCCACTAGCAGATGAAAAAGCACCTCAGCAGAGAGGCCTCTCCTCCATTAGGATCCTATTGTTCACTTGTTCACACACAAAACTAACCATTGCTGCTGCTATTAGCTATTAATTTTTCTCTCTTTTTTTTTTTTTTTTTTGCATAATACGCCCAGAGGACCAGCCAAAACCAGGACCCACTTGTGCTAAGCAGCCTGCCCAGGAATTTGAAGAACACATACGATGTTCTAGGTGAAGAGGGCTTTGTCTTGGAGTTTTGCTTGCTTGCTTGCCTGCTTTCCCTCTGCCTCTCTCTCTCCTGAAAATCCCTGTAATGTAAAATGGTTAAACTCTGGGGGAAGAAGCATTCATCTTCTGATCCGTAAATACTTTCTTGTGCTGAATGGTGCCTGCTGACTTTACTGCTGCTACTGCAACCTTTTAAAATGCTTCCAGGAAATCTCATTAGATTTTAACTTTATTATTATTATTATTAAGGAATCTGAAGAGAGTTTGTGATAATCCCAATTTAACTTTTTAATAAAATCTGCAAATAATATGCCAGCATGTATTTGATCTCATATACATATCTGATAAGAATGCTGATTTGTAGTAAAATTTGCAGACATGGGTCTGTTGTCATCGGATTAATGAATATAAAAGCTGGCAGCTTTATGCTGGCAATATTACGGTAAGCCTATATTTTTATAGTAGTTCTGAGCATTGCCTTCAGTACTGGTGAAGATTAAGATTTAGCATGCAGAAGTAATGCCCATTATGATGAGATTGTCCACAGTGAATTGAGAAGGACATTTGCTTAATTAAAAGTATTTATCTTAGATGATTTAAGAACTATGTCCTACTGCCAAACTGAGTATGTAAATATATTCCCTACAATCAGCTAAATACCGATGGCTCTACTGAAGAGAAGAAGAAAAATGTAAAAGGAAAATGATAGAGCTGATTCCGCGAGAACTCGGAGGGGTCCCAAGGACCTGACCCTGGTCCATGGATGGGGAAGGTGCCACCGCGTGGGGAGCGCGGCGGGATCCTCACAGCTCTGCTCCCCGCCAGCTCCCACCAGCTCCCGGGTCCTGCCGGGCCCCCGGAGCGGCGCTTCCCGGGATGTCGGGGCACCCGCGCAGCTCTTCCGGCTGAGGCTGCTGCAAGGAGCCAGGTCGACCCAGCCAAGAGCAGCAGCAAGGCCCGTTGCTCTGCACACCCTCCTCATTTACTCATTATTTCTTATCTTCATTTAAATTCCAGACCATTTTCTTTTCTTTCTCCATAAGCTAATAGGAAAAATACGTCTCCCCCCCTGCAAGTCATTTAATTCAAGTAATTTGTTTTGATGCTTGCTCGGAGCATTCAAATAGCAGCTGACAGCAGCTGATATGTGCTACGTTCCTGAAGCGCTGGAGGAAACGATCTGCACAAGCCCCTGGTGATGCCGGCCCGGGTTCCCCGCGCGGGGCCGTGCGCTGCTGGGGCCGTGAGGGCCCCGGGATCCCCAGCTCTGCTGCCAACACCAGCTTCAAGAAGGTAAAACCCGGTGTAAACCCCTGCTCTGCACCTGCACGGGGAGTAACGAAACCCAGGCCGTGTCACATCCTGTCTAGATACTGGGAAAACGCAGGGAGAGAAGAGGGAGAAATGAGCAAAATATACAATAATGTACGAGGTGCCTGCTGTTAACTTCAAAGCTCGGGAGAAAAGCTCAACTGCTAGAGTTTGTGAGTGTGGAATTTAGACACGGGTAAATAGAGCAACACATTAAGCGTGTTTTTTTCCTCCAGAGCAAAATTAAATAGGCATACAGAGCAAATTATAATATTTAGAACTTCCAGGGCACATTCCAGTTGAGGATCACAAAATAATTTGAAAATATTAATGAATTAGCCTCACAGCTTGCTTTCAGGTAGATAATAATAATAATTACTACAAACAATAATAATAATAATCATCATTATTCTTATAGCTTCAAAGAAATGAAAATTGAGGCATAGAGAATGAATGCATTTGTCCAAAGTCTGTTTTACTGCTCTAAGCATCCTTCTCTAAAGTTATTATGTTTCACATTTATCCTTTTCTAAATTCTGCATGCAACATATTTCTCAGTTTGAGTTCTAAAAACCAATCAGCCGAGCATCCTTATGAAGCTGTTCTTATGAATATCTCCATTTGCATTTGAATTCTCCAGCAGCAACAGTCCTGCTTTAAAAAAAATAAAGAAAAAAGGAATAAAGAAAATAAATAAAAATCTGTCAAGGGGCCATCTGTGACTTGGTATCAGAATACTGCCAAGAAGTTCTGAGGAGCAAAGTTCATTTTAAGTCTAATGCATGATGTTTTTTGGCCTAGGGAATTAATTCAATCCCATGATTTGTTTCTCAATGCAGAACAGCATCTTTGTGCTGCGTATGTGTGATCCTGCATTTAGTACATGTACCCATGCCTAAATACGAAATGTCTTACATGGTAAAACACTCCTCTTGATGGCCCAGGATATTTGCCACTTTTCTAAGGAGTATTAGGAACTGAGGGATCCCTGATCCTGGCAAGATGAGGACTGGGATTATATGTTCTGAATGGAAATATATAAAAGTTAGGAATACTTATCTGCAGGCTTTTTGTTATCTCCTCTTCAGGTGCCAAAGTCCGATGAGTCTCAGCTTTAGCTCTTTACTTTCATGCATGCAATATTTGGGATTAACTCCAGGAAACAGGAAACATAGCATTAACATCATTCTAATGCACCACATTATTTTCCCTTCCTTTTTTTTTTAACCATTAGGGTATGCAAATGTTCAGTTAACTGGTCCTCAAGTTTTCTCTTTATTGAATTGCTTTCACTATGGCAAAATAAATATTCATAAAGAAATGTGGACAATAAATCATTTCAAATTGTTCAAAGTCGTTTTCTTTGCAGACTGCATATATATTCAGCTGTAACTCGCCTTTAATATTTCATTCAAAAGGAAGACTTGTAGAAGGACAATAGAGATAATGTGTCAAGTAGTAATTAAAATAAGGGGTAATGATTAAAACCATTTCAATCTACACTGTGCTCTGTCAAATTCATAATCTCCCATATTGGTTAGGATGACTTTCCACTCGCTTTATATAGAAACTCAAACTCACCTTCTGCTGAAAGACACTGCACAGCACACGCTATTTCAGCTCTGAGGCTGCGGGCTGCAGAGCCCTGCGCATCTCCGGGGCCTGGGCACATGCTCTGCGCATGCGCAGGTGCAGGGAACCTGTCTCACCACTCAGATTGAATCTATAAACCAAAAGAAATGAAATAAATAATATTTGGAGATCTTGGTTCAAATCCAGGTAACAATGATGTTTTATGCCTCTTTATATGTACTTAGGCAACTTAAATACTCCTCCATATTTGGCCCAAACTCATTATCTTTCCTGATTCGTTACTTGTTTTAGGCCCTGTTTCAAAAGAGCACTTACATACAAACTTAAAGAAATTGATTTAGGTAAGCATTTCTCGTTGTGTTAAATCTTGGGCAGACATTCAACTTTGAAATCAATTGGACTTATGAGCAGTCCTGACCTTGGGGTCTAAATGGTTGCTGAATCAGTGCATCGACAGAAAGATACTG